CGATAATAACCTTCAAACCGGCGCCATATTTCTAGATTTTACCAAAGCATTTGATAAGGTACCTCATAAACGCTTGTTACTGAAACTTTCCCACTTAAACTTACACCCCGCAGTCTTAATCTGGATCCAAGAATTCTTACATAACCGTTCCCAATCTGTCCTTGTAAATGATCAGCTCTCCAACTTTATTCCAGTTACATCAGGTGTCCCTCAGGGTTCCGTCCTTGGCCCCTTGTTATTTCTAATATATATTGACGACCTACCAATGAACTTAACTTGTAACATACGCATGTTTGCTGATGACTGCGTTTTGTACCGCACAGTAACGAATGTATCTGATAAATTTGCCTCCAAAGTGACATTAACCAAGTGCAGCGTTGGTGTGAACGGTGGCAAATGGAACTTAATCCTAACAAATGTAAACTTGTGTCGTTTCAGCGTCGCCATAACCCGCTCACCACTTCCTACGTAATCTCTAACACTCCTGTTCAACTTGTGCAATCCTATACAAATACCTTGGCCTAACTTTGTGCAGTGACCTAACTTGGGCTGAGCACATCCGGACTATCATCGCAGCTGCTAATCGTACTCTCGGCTTCCTAAAACGTCATCTGCGCAACACACCCCGCCATGTAAAATTATTAGCATATCAGTCCCCCGTAAGAAACAAGCTTGAATATGCATCGTCAATTTGGAGCCCACAACACGCGTATCTCATTACTGCACTCGAATCACTTCAAAACCGTGCTACTAGATTCATTCATTCCTCATATGCCTATCACATTAGCGTGTCATCTTTAAAAGAAGAAATTGGCCTGTCCCCTCTATCTTCCCGCCGCCGCATTGCCACCCTTTGCTTGTTTCATAAACTTTTTCACAGTCCACTTGCAATCGAACCTTACATTTCCCCCCCATTTCGCAGGTCATATCGCATTGGCCATGTCTTTCAAGTTGCTCGTCAACGTTCCCGCACCGTTACTTTTGCTGCCTAATTTTTTCTTCGTGCAGCAAAAGATTGGAATGACCTCCCCCACCATATTGCAGCAATCACCTGTCCATCAACATTTATGCATAGCGTCACAAGTCATTTTTCAAGCTAATTCATGGCTTTTTTGTACGTTTTTTGTAACCCCACCTCTTATGTAATGTCCCCCTGGGGACCTTTAAGGTAATAAAATGAAATGAAATGAAATGAAAGCAAGTGCTCCTGCAGATTGCCTCTGTGGAGCAAGTGTTGCCAAGTGCAATGCCTGTTATAGATACTCCTCCCTTACTGTTGTTTCTTTGTCGATCATCGCTTGCAAGCGTTTGACTTCTTTGACAACGCCTGAAAGCTCAACGGGAATAATCGATCGTATTAATAAGTTTTATCCAGTTATTTCGGCCTGAGTACCTGAGTGCGCAAAGAGCCATATGAGTTATAGCTTGTTTACTGTCACTTTCATTTACTGTGATTATATATTTCTTTTGTTCCGACGCTGACTGGCACGTCACTGCTCCAGAATCCACTGCTCTCAGAATTAATTTCGAGTGGACGATTTGTGTAGAACGTAAAAAAATAAAGAAAACCGATACACGGCTTCTGCTAAACTCTAGTTTTTGACGTTTTGTGATTGTGAGCATCCCTTCGCTCCTAGACTTCTGGATGAGTGTGAAGCGAAGCGTTTGTTTTTACATTAGTGCCATTGTGACACGATGTATTAATATACGACAGGTGCTGTTCAGTGGCGTTGAGAAACTCGTCGGGGACAAAGCAACGCGCTCCGTGGGCACAGCGCTGGGCGAGACGTACCTGTTTCCCGAGGACACGGACTGGAACGCCTGTCGTCAGGTGGCGCTCTTGTGCTCGAAGCACCTGCACTGGCAGTGCGTCGCAGGCGATCGGCGCAATGGAGCAGATGTCAGTCAGCCATTTTCACCGGACGCATAAATTGACTCTGTCTTTAGAATGAACACTAGTGACATATCATAGGGTGGGAGTGAGGGCATAGGGGAGTTATTAAAATAGAGGAACGTTTTACGCAGGATTCATGTAGTCATTTGCGCAGCTGCAGGGTTATGTGTTTCAGGTACTCGTTATACTTTCCAGATGACGTGCCGTGTAATCGACTGCACCTCGTCAGAGACATTGTGAATTGCACTTCAGTTGATTGTCTACCTGATACACCTGAATAAGCTGTGCATTCAAATTGGTTTTGGTTCGCTAGCGCACGCACGCACGCACGCACGCACACACGCACACGCACCCACACAATTGGTCACGTCATCATGCAAGCGTGAATGCATATACGTATACGAGAGTTCTAGAACAGAGCGATTTGGTGGCGACAATTTTGTTCAGTCACAAAACTTTCACCGCCAAAATTTTACGCACAATTTAGATGGGGTTGTGAAATCGATAGACACAACCTTCATTTCAGACAGAAACTACAAAAAAAGAACGACATTAATGCGTTTTTCACAAACTGCCACGTCCAGGTGCCGTGAAATATAGAAGAGGTGGCACCACACATGCTCGAAATGGGCAAGCCAACAATGCCAGGCGTCTCCTGTGTTACCAGGGCCCTCGACCTGCTCAGTTCCCCTACGGTTCTCGGAAGCATTACGATCAGCACCAGCAGCAAACAATGCTCCTAGCTGGGCCAAAAGACAATGATGCCAACAGACGTATAGGAGTTCGCTATTAGAAGTAAATCAATTCAAATGCTAATGCGAAGAAAGAAAAGTGGACAAAAATATAACTTTCCTCGGGCAGGATCCAAACCTAATAACGCGTCCTATACTCAACAACTGAGCTACGGTATTGGTCGTTCCCCCGTTCCTTTTGTAAGGTATATATTTGCAATAAACGTGGGAGCTTCAGTCAGCTCTGCCTGTTGCCCATGCAGTGAGTGTGGAGCATCTTCACTTGTGTACCAACCAAAAAAGTTCGTAGCTTTTTCTCTTTTACGTAAGTATATACCGACAACTACCTCCTCTTTCGGCCCTCTCCCACGCGTAGCCGGCGTCTGCCGCCATTTACTTCCTGACTTGGAAGATCTACAAAGCCGTGTACGTCTAAGTACATTGGCCACGCATCTTTCAGCGGACTGTATGCTAACGCGATGCGCCTTTCTCCTCCGGTCAACGCCCTGTCGTTAGTGATCGGGGGATTTGTTTCACCAGGTGCTGGAAAAGCGTTAGTATAAGAACATGGGTACCGAAAACGAGCGTTAGCCAATGAGATTCGTCAATGGCGCTTGAATGGTTGGTGGTACTTAACAAATAACTGGAAAAAATCTAGAGGCTTTAGTGCCAACATGGCGGCTGAGGTAAAAAAAAAAACAAAAGCGAAAATAGCTTCGGTATGTCTATCACTCTAATCAAATTTTCATTACCCTAACTGGTGTGTGAGCCAAGGTATTCAGCTTTACACGTAGACGTCTCTCGCTAGCTAATGAATTTTTGCGTGTCAGTAGCACAGGCTCACCACTGAAAGTATAAGGTGCTTGATCACGGCTTGATAAGAGCCCTAAAGCAGGCACGCTTCAGCCGTAATCACGTTTCAAGATAAGGGTAGTAAAGTAATAGGGCGCTGAGTGCGGACGTTGTCATATACTCAGCGCAAGGAGCGTGATTATTTCGGCGGGACCGCTGAGAAAGAAAGGCGATGTGTTTGCTTCTGTAGCCGCGATAACAACGTACACTGCATTGCACCGGGGCTTTTCCAAAGCACCTCCATCGGAACAACATTTTGTCGCTTGCGTAGACCTTCCGACGGTTAGCAGGAGAAGATAGAGAACTAGTCTGAAGGAAACAACACCAACGAAGAAAGAAAGCAAGCAAACAAAAAGCAACAAGTTCAACATTTTCACCATTGAAATTATTCAGGTAAGGTTCCATTAGTGCTTGATAATTATGCTATAATGAATGTGTCATCCATGAAAGTAATTCTTACCTATTTTGAACAGCAATCTTGTGTTCGGACTGCGTTGGTAGGTTGCACGTGCTAGTGAAAGCTTAATCGAATTCTCTTTTCGAAGCAGCGTGTGGATGAAGGGAGCTATATGAGTAAAAAAAGATTTATCCCTCTTTTCGCTAAGTCTTGACTTGCCGCACCCATAACTCTCTTTAAAGATGCAGATGAACTTTCCGTTGGAAGTCACTACTCTTCTCATCCGAGAGTTTTGGTGTAGTTGAAAAAAAAAAAACGTATGTTGCAAGTCGGGGCTCACGAGAAAGAGTAATTTGTTTTCATTTCTTTGAGCTTGTAGTTTTCATTTCTTTTTTTCGAACTCCCATTCATTGACAGAAATTTGCGCTGAGACATATTTCCTTTAAACTTTATGAATATATCAGCGTCGACTGTTGTCTTGTATCTGCGTAGGCGTGACGTGGACGCACATAGCGGCGAAATCAATAACGATAGAGTTCCGAAAGAATATTTCGTCAGTCTAAACAGACTTAATGTCTGACTTAAGTGGCTCTTCACCATTCGCCTGTCATTTTCTGCGCCATCACTCGCTGCGTCGTACTCACATCAAGTGGTACTCTTCTCGTGGCATCTGTATTTGCCACGAGGGAGAGCACCGGTAAGATGCAGCTGTTATGTAACGACCTTATTGTTCACATTGTTCCTTTTTTTAATACCGAAGTATTCGCTGATCTGACGACTAACGTCTATTTTAGACATGGTTACAGATGGCGGAGTGAAAACTCGGTAATAGATAGATGATGTCAGGGACGCTGTACTTCAACTTCATTTTCGAAGCAAACTTAATACTTTTTCTAAGGTGTTAGACGTTATGCGTATGCACAACTAAAAAAAAAATGTTGTTAGAGCTAGTTGGTGTTAGAATTTTGGGACATAACTACTCTTTTCCTGAGGTGTAAGGTTTTGTTTGTGGTACTGCAGGTAACAACGTAGTGAAAAAAAAGTACCATTAGGTTATACGGAGAACGCATGTGGAAGCCTCGCGATAAACTTTTCAGTCGTCGCATCTCCGTCACAGCTATAGGATATGCAGTTCGAAGAGGCTCTGCATCTGGTGGGCGAGTTCGGCGTCTTCCAATGGCTTCTAATCGTGTACCTGGTGGTGTTCGTGGCTCCCATGCGGGTGATACCGCTGTTCGCTCACATATTCACGCTGCTCGAGCCGCCGCACTGGTGCCGCCAGCCCGAACTCGAAGACCTGTTCAACCTGACGCGGGAGGAAGCTCGTGACTTGGGCGTGCCTCGCGAGTCGGGCGGCAAGTGGAGTATGTGCACCATGTACGACCTTCAACTTGACGGAACTCGGTTCCTGGAGGGATTGGACGAATAAGAGCTTGCCTTCAACGGCACAACCTGCCCGTTGTGCCCTGCCAGTCCGGCTGGCATTATGACCACTCCGTCATTTACCCGACCATCGTGTCCGATGTATGTATCTCTGTTTGTTCGCTTGCTTTGTTGAATCCACCTACATAGATGTAGTATTAAAAATTATTTCACAAGCTTATGCGATAGAGTGAAGGTTAAGTTAGAACATGTTTACCACTTGGCGCTAAGCTCAAGCCGAGACGCAGCCACTGCACATGAACTTTGGGCACAGCATCAATATGTGTGTTGTGTGCGCTGTTCTTACTTTTCTTCTTTCTTCCTCTTTTCCTGCCCCTTCTCCTTCTTCCTTTGTAAGGTGACAAACTGTGTGCAATCTTACCGTGCCTTTACTTTGCCTTTCTATCTTTCTTTGTGAGAAAACAACAAAATATGAAAATCTCGCTTTCCTAGCTCATTATACTGAAATATAAAATACTTCAAAGAATTGGCGCCAGCAAATGTGGAAGTGTTTTTTATCTGCGCGCAATAAATAGGTAACTAATTTCAACAATAGAATGAAATGAACATTCTTAGACAAAATAACCAAGAAAATCACGCAAGCTTGCTTAGGACCCTTACAAAACTGCTCCATAAATTTGGTTCTTCGTTGGTAAACAAACGAGTATCAGTACCTTTTCAATTAGGAAATATAAACAAAAAACCCTCCAATCATAGTTTTTGGAGTGATTTGGGGGAGGGGTTGCAGTTGCTAAAGGAGTTTTCTATTTTAGAAAAAAAAGCACCTATTTTTATTACTTATTTCTGGTAAAGACCAACTTCCATTAGTATTTCGGGGGAAATCGGAATCCCCTTCGTCAAAATTTCGGAAGAACTCGTTCACCAGAACAATTTTTTTTTCTATTTTTCCAGATGGATTGGGTTTGTGGCCAGACCTGGAAGGCGTACCTCGCAAACTCCCTCTTCTTTGGCGCCATGTCCATTGGGGTGATTGGGATCGGCGCCATAAGTGACAAGCAAGTGTGAATCTCAGTGGTTGTCATCGCGATGCCATCTTTCCGGCCATGGTGGTCGTATTTTCATGAGGATGAAACATAAAAAAAACACACGTGCACTTAAATTTAGATTTATTTGGGGGGACCCCGGGTGGGCGAAATTAATCCGGAGTATCTCACTAAAGCGCTCCTCATAACCATATCGCAGTTTTTTTTACGTAAAGACCCAGCAGTTTATCCTAAGTATTGTTATGACTTTCGCTTTATTCTGTAAAATGGCTCAATTACTGACACCGATGGTTGTTTGATGTCGTGATTTGTGGCGAGGTTGAAGCCGGGTGACAATGTGATCGTGACAGCAATGTCGATAAAAAAAGGCATATGACTAGTAATCGCAATGAATATGAAGTGCAACTCATGTTCCGCACTAGAAAGCACAGAAGTGCGGTAGTGATGCGAATGACGGTGAGCACGAAAAGATGGTTGTCGAAATGATGGCTCATGCCAGTCTGGTATTCATGCGTGCGCCTGCGTGAACTTCATAAAAAAGCCCAGGGAAAGCATGCGAAGTCATCAGCTAGGCTATAGGTTAACTATAAGTAGTTACGAGTGTAAATAATAATAATAATAATAATAATAATAATAATAATAATAATAATAATAATAATAATAATAATAATAATAATAATAATAATAATATAATACAGCAGTGCCATGATGGTTGGTTAAAGCTTAAGTATACGACGCTGTTTAATTTTGTGTAAGGTTTAATTTGAAAGTTCATTTCCATGAAATAAGCCGATGGTCCTTAGGTAGATAACTGAACACGAGGCCCGCGTTTTATTACCTATTATTTCTGATACCGAACGTCTTGTTTTACGATGGAGAGGCCAACGCGATAATTGAGTCAGTGCACATTGTGAATCGATCTTCTGGCAGAATCGGCCGGGTCCCCGTGATGATTGCAATCTACATCCTGGCAGGAGCGGGCGCTGTGGTCACCTACTTCACGCAGGACTTCTATGTATTCCTGGTCACCAGGATTATTGAAGGAGGTGTCATTCTATCCATCAGCATTATCCCTTTCGTGTTGGGTAAGCCCTGTACCTCGCATTAAAAATATTTCGCTCAGTAAACAAGGGGCCAAGTGTGGCCCGACGCAATCACTTATATTGTATAGCTACTGCTGCTTTGTATTACAAAGGTGGCGAAAGGCAACCAGGTGGCGCATGCGCGTGCTAGCTCTTGTAATTTACTGAAGGAAGAAAAAATCTTTTTTTATTGTACCAGCTAAATACACGTCCACAGCGAGACGCTTACTAAGTGAAAGAAAAAAATACGCGTTACGGGAAAACACCTCGAAGTTCTAACAACAGCTTGCCGTGACGCCACAGATTTTGACAGCATCTCTAGTCTCTGTGCAATCATTTACCACTAAAAACTGTTCAAATTGTGTCCGGAGAGACCTAATGTCTCCACATACTGAGCTTTCAGAAAACTTCATTCAACGTTGATTCCGCAACAAACTTTTTTTTTGTATGCTTGAAACAACACTTTTGGTGTCCTAACGTGCCCCAAATCAACTTAGAACCAACACGAGTTTTGCACGATCAATGAATAAGTGATGCTTTGGCATAGGTAAAACCACCTATCGTTAATAAAACGTTGAAATTTTGCTCAGTAAAATTTCAACCAAAAAATCACGAAAGATATCGTACATACAGTACAGTTCGAAAGATCAAATGGAGACCAATCGTCATGCTAAAGAAGTTCTTGGCCAATGTTTTTTATGGCACAACGAAAGTATCGAGGAAAAAAAAGGAAGGTTTGCGAATTAGGTTTACAGAAGTCCACGTGAACTCCATGTACGTCATGACTAGATATATTACTGAACAATTAGTGATGTCTCTGAAAGAGTCCGAATTGAACGATTGTAATTCATTTAAGAGGAAGAATTCATTAAGTTTTTTTTAGGAGCGAAGCTCCCGATAGTCCCGTTATCGTCTGTAACCACCACTCGCCGAGTCTCCAATCCTACCATAGATGGCGCTCCTTGTACTATAGAACGAATGCATATACGCCGCGAAATGCAAAATTGTCCCACACTAGAGGGCGTTTTGTAGCAAAAGATAATAATAGGTGAGTTTCATGAAAACAGGATTCACGTCTTACGTACGGGAGGAGAGAAAGACGATCGCGGCACTGCGATCACATGTTCTTCGGCGGCGCCGTGTGGCAGGGGGCACTCTATAGTACAAACAAAGCAGAGATGGCCATCAACAAGGAAGGTTTGCAGAAATCGATGGACATCTGCAGTAATGAGGGAGATAGGTTAGATTTTAGATTCAGTAAGGAAAAATCAGCAGTCATGATTTTCAATGACAACGAAGGTAGTAAGCTTAGGATACAGGAGGTCACGCTAGAGATAACATATAAATACAAATATCTGGGCATATGGATAGGCAATGGGTCCGAGTACCTGAGGGAACACGAAATATACGTCACGACTAAAGGTAACAGGAATGCAGCAGTGATGAAAAATAGGGCACTGTGGAATTACAATAGGTATGATGTTGTGAGAGGAATATGGAAAGGGGTCCTGGTTCCTGGGCTGACGTTCGGAAATGCGGTCTTGTGCATGAGATCAGAAGTTCAAGCAAGATTAGAAATTAAGCAACGTGGAATAGGTAGGCTTGCTTTAGGAGCTCACGGGAATACACCAAATCAGGGAGTACAAGGTGATATGGGATGGACATCATTTGAGGGCAGGGAAGCTAGCAGCAAGATAAAATTTGAGAAGCGATTGAGAGAAATGGGGGAAGAGCGTTGAGCTAGGAAGGTTTTCAGCTACTTGTACATGAAGAATGTCGATACAAAATGGAGGAAGCGAACCAGGAAGTTGACTGGTAAATACCTAGAAAACAGCAGGTGGCCAAACCAAAAAGAACTATCGGTTAAGAAGAAAGTGAAGGAAACGGAGACTGACATGTGGAAAATGGGCATGATTAAGAAATCCGCACTAGAGACCTATCGAACTTTTAAGCAGGAAATTGCCAAGGAAAGGATCTATGATAATACTCGGGGTAGTTCTCTACTGTTTGAGGCAAGGACGGGAGTACTGCGAACCAAGACATATCGGGCCAAATACGAAGGGGTAGACACAGTATGCAGTGCGTGTGGAGAGGAAGAAGAAACTGCCGACCATTTGATAATGTTCTGTAAAGGGCTTCACCCTGTAGTTCAGGATGATGGCGCAGAGTTTTTCAAAGCACTGGGGTTTAGGGAGTGGGAGGGCAAAATAGACTTTAAGCGGGTAGACTTAACTAGAAGGAGGTTATCTGATTGGTGGCTAAAGTCGAGGCACGAGTGAAAATTAAACGCTTCACTGCAAAGTACGAATCCTCAAACTCACTTTTTAAGGAAAAAAATAAATATAGCTTTGGGTTCATTAAGTATTACGGCTTGGTGGTGCTAGCCACCGCCCGATCTAAAGGGTACAGCCATATCCATCCATCCATTCAAGCACCGTGTTGGCGCGTGCGCGTTCAGAGGGTGGGTGGATGGACAAGGCTGCCGAGCGGCGTGCGCGCAGGGCGGCGGTCGCTCGCGCTTGAAGAAAAGTGACCCCGCCGTGTGGGCGCGGGAGGCCGATACAGCCGTGAATGAGGGCTGCGGCGCGGCGAGGACCCTGCAGTACGAGCGCGGGAGGCCTAATGGGTGCGGCAGGGGCGTGCGGACCCAGCTTCGCCCCACTCTCCATCATTCACCCCGTGGATATGCTGTCATTTTTTGTTTGGGCACTCTCAGGTCCAAAATATTTGTTTCTAATGCCATCCGGGCCAAATGGCGTTGCGCATGTTAGTGGTTACAAAATGGCGTTGAACATGTGAGTGTTCACAAGAAATAAGGCAATCAAAATGAGTGTAGTGAGTTAAAGTCATGAAAAAAACAAGCAGGCACCTGTAATAATTTTCAGTGATAGAATTTTACGCACAGCTATAGAACGTTTGCTGATGCCCTGAGGAATAGTGTGTTATCAGGGATGATTGTGACATTTGAGCTGGGAGCGTGGCTGCATTGCCGAGACGTACGGGAAATGAGAGACTGAAAGCGCGTATGATCCAGTAGCTTTTAGCCGATTTATCTAGGCTGTTAGCCACTAGCATGCTACCTGTTGTGTGATTTCAAGCAGCAGGCGCGAGCTTATTGGTAGGCGCGAGCTTATTGGTAGAGAGTGAGCACAAGTTTTTTTTTTTGTACGAAAAGAGGGGGGCCTAATAAAGCGGTGAGTTTTTGCTCCGCTTGTAAACTCTGCTTGCCGCGCTTGACTGCGAGATTTGGCGGAGCTGTTCACAGCAGTGGCGGCTTTCCACAGAATGTGTTTTACATCAAGCCTCAGAGGTGGTTTACGACTTCTTTGTGCAGTTGTTTCCAGGACTAGAAAAAAAGGTTATTTATCCATAATCATGGCAATGCCAGGTATATCTTAACCGTTGAGGGACGTTTTCTTTGTATCGAACGTTGAGTGTAGTGGTGATGGAAAGATGAACGCGTGTTTTCTTTTGCAGCGTTGGAGTACGTGCCAGCCCAAAAGCGGATGCTGGTTCTGAGTGCTTTCCGGTTCGCCTACCCTCTGCTCGGAGTTTGCATGCCATGGGTGGCTTACGGGCTTGCCCACTGGCGGCTTCTCAACGCTGTCATCGTGCTGCCCTGCCTCGTAGGACCTGTGGTTTCCATGTAAACATATTTTCGATTCTACGGATAGCTTCAGTCGGGGAGAAACGTGGTGAGGGCGTGTATGGTGATTCGGTGGGATGGAGTAATCTGATATTTTTATAAAGCGCCTTTCTTATTGTCTAAAGAAGGCAGGTTTTGACTATGACATTTTTTTATTTTTGCAAGTGCGAGCCTCTTTTTCCTGTCTGATCTTTATCGCCTGCCGAAGAACTTGATGAACTTACTGACCCTTTATAATGATTAAAAACAGAATGTTCATTAGCGACTTCATTCAGGCGTACTTTTCCGATCTGCCCTATTATATCGGCAGGTCTAAACGGTAGGCCACGCCTCTAGCTACAGCGTTTATTTAGTGATGTTTTAGAGACACTTGGTTCTGTGCATTTTTCTTGGTTATAACCAAGAAAAATGCACAGAACCAAGTGTGTGCTCGTCAGAACCATAGTGCTGCTCGTCATATATGACGAGCAGCACTATCCGCTCCGATAAATATACCATTTTCAGAAGGCGAAATTTCGGGACCGTGGCTTAGTGCGTCGTCATTGAACCGAATGGGATTGATACGGAAGCTGGGATGAAAGTGATTTCAGTCCTGTGTCACTGATTACACAACTGTGTTTTCCTACTTCTCAAAGTTTTATACCAGAGTCCACTAGGTGGCTGCTCTCCAAAGGAAGGAAGGAGAGGGCGAAAAAAATCCTGCTTCGTGTCTCTCGTGTAAATGGCAAGAAAGTGGAAAGTTCAGCACTTGACTCTCTTCAGGTGAGCCGTTTTTCGTGATAGGTTGACAGCTGTTGTTACATGACCAGCATTCGAATGTCCGAGGAACTCTAGTTTCACTCTAGTTGTTCCCTAAACCTTCACTTGTTTTGGTGAAAACGGACCACGAAGCACGCCCTGTTACACTTGGCCGTGTGCAACCATAATGGGCCGAAAATTCAGTGATGCGTCAGTTATCTGGAATTCTGATCAACTGACATTGTTTAATTTGCAGAAAACCATGGAGTCCGAATGGTTCGTTTTCATTAAATGAATCACAGAAGCTTGAGCGACAGACTAAGAGGAGTTTGGTACTCGAGAGCATTGCGCGACGCTGAGAAGCTTCTCAGCTTTTGCTCTTTCGTAAGCTTTGTAGTTACATATTGTCCCACGGAGGCACAGTGGTGTGTTACGGCGCTCGACTGCTCACCTGCAAGTCGCGTGATCCGATCCTGGCCGTGATCTCGATGGAAGCGGAAATGCCTGAGGTTCGTGTACATAGGTGCACGTTTAGGAACGCCAGGTGGCGGGAAGTTCCGGAGCCCTCCACTATACCGATGAACACGAGCACGAGTAGATTACTCGATATGGGTCTCCACAACACGCTGGAGGAATCAATAGAGACACATACCATAGAGCGCCCTTTCCGAAAGCACAACGGGCAAGCACATACTATATGGAATCTCTTAATCATAGTTATGGGTAGTTAACCCCATATACTATTATTAATTCTTCCAAATGTTCGTATTTTTTTCTATTCGAACTAATTTAAATCAGAGTTGCCAGGTTTGGCTACATTGCGTGAATTCGGCCACTTTTATGGGCCGGTGTCGGCAAAAAACAAGAAAACTTTGCTACATTTCAGCTACTTTCTTGTTTCCTCGATTGGAATCGAGTTGTCAGTATTTGCTGCCGTCGCAGCCGCTGGCCTATGTGGGGTGAAAATTTGGCAACTAAGGCGTGTTTCCAACTTCCAAAATTAAATGAGACATTAGCATTACACCGAAGAAAAGGGATTTTGTTGCGTGGTTCGGCCTCGGGGAAAGCTGTTGCGACCTTAAATCAAAATCGGCAGAGGGCCATTGAAAGCGCTCCGCATCCTGCTAGTTCGGCCGTCATTGATATTAGAACACGAATGTCTGATGAATTGCTTGTGTCATTTCTTAGGATTTGGTATGAATTGTGACGCAGGAGCATTAACTATCCAGATTTTGTGATCACGCATGAATTGATTGCGAAATTGACTACAACATGTGCTTCAACGGCATTATTATAGCAATTGTAATCGTGAGCACAGTCATGCCAATAGCTCTGGCAACGGCGCTAAGCCGGAATGTCACGGAGGTCATGCATGGTTGAACACACAAGAGACGCTTGAGCCTATTCCGCTTGACTGGTTGTCATTATGACATGTGTCGTAAACCAGCTGCAGAACTTTCAACGTCTCTATACTTACATTATCCTTCGCTACATAAACAACGCTCTGCACAAAGTTTCTCGGAATTCTAAAACCAATTAGGCTTACCTTTGTGAGATTTTCTGTGAGATTGCAATTCTGTGAAATTTTCATACAGCCATTGATTTTAAAACAACGTCAGGAGTGCCACGTAAACGTTACACATGAAACTATAAAAACCATGGACGCCAAAATTTCTTGCCTAGGTTTGAAACGTTTCGGACAGCTTCAATGCAAGGATATAACTGATGAATTTATTCCGGTACATGCATGCTGGAGAGCTTTCAATGAACACACAAGATACCATTTGAGAAAAATATTGGTATAGATTCGGTATACACCACGAAGTATTGATGAGCCGAGAAATTTGGACGCTTCGTGTGCAGTCTCAGTTTATTTCAGCTTTATCGAGGTGCATAAACGTGTTTCAATTTCGCAGATTCCAACCAAGATGGACGCTTCTAAGAAGTCGTCAACGACGGACGTTTTCAAGTATCCTACGCTCCGCAGGAGTTTCATGATAACACTTTTTCTTTGGTGAGTGTAAAAACACGAATATGCGCGAAAAAGTATTACTTGCAAATACTGTTTAAAAGTAGTCGTATCGTCGTTGCTACAATGTACATTATCTCGGTACACTGTCTCACCAACAGACATGAAATGGAGGGTTGGGGTTACACGAAAAGAAAATCTTAACACCTGGACGTGCTAGCAGAATAATTTCCTTCTTATTGTCCCGCGTGATCGCTCTTTCAAAGCCAACTAGCTTCTTCTTGGCATTTCATCACGAGAGCGTGTACAGATGCTGTTCAAACAACCGTTTGCTGAAGCACTGTGCTGGCGGCGAAATGTGTTGCAAACTTGCCGTGCATGGGCGCAGGTTGATGTCGTGCCTGACTTACTCGGCTGGCCAGCTGTACGCTGCCACGGCAACCGACGATCCATTTGTGATGACGTCGACGACCAACGCGATGGACATATTGGCCACGGGGCTAGCTCTTCCGCTAGCCGACAGGTGGGGCCGCCGGCCTAGCATGGTGTGCGCATACGGCCTTGCTGCGGTCTGCTACGTGGGCGTAGCAGGCTTTTTCGGTGAGCTTAGTTACGTCTATTTCTACTGATGAAATTGTGAAGCCGGCAAAAGCATGTGTGAAAGTAAGAATGCCAAAAAAAAAAAGAGACAACATTTTTGACCTGGCCGTCATAGGAATCGGTATAACACGTAAATGATAAATGAAACATGTCCTTGCCGAGGTAGTTGTAGACGAACGTTGTTTAAACAAAAAAATGTAAGACTATACGGTTGTATTTCAGGCAAATCAGCGGCGATATTCGCCATCCTGATGGTGGGTCGGTTCGCCCTTACCACTGCTTACAACGTGGGCTACCTATTCGCCGCCGAGATCTACCCGACCGAGATACGCTCGCAAGCACTCTCGATACGACAGGCCTTCGGCTCTCTTGGGAAGTTTCTCAGCGCCCAAGTCGTTCAGCTGGTGAGCTAATCTGGTCCTTCGATTGTTTCAAGCGGAACGTTGAAACGGAGCGCACGAGCAGCGTTTCGCTGATTTCCGTGGCTCGCTGTTTCGCAGGCATTCTACGGCCGCTTCCTGCCTCTGTTTATCCTGGGCGGGCTGTCCTGTGCGTCGGCACTCATCACGCTGCCTCTGCCGGAGACCAACAACCAGCGACTGCCGGAAACGCTGGAAGAGGGCGAGGCGATGCGAGACCTACCCAAGCCGTGGTTCCCGTGCCTGGCGAGCAAGAAGCGGGAGCGGAGCGGAACCGGAACTCGGGTCCGCAGCATGTCCACCTTGTCAGCCGCTACTATCGACAGCGTCAGTCCACACTAGAACCGTTTGTGAGGACGCATGGCGGTGTAAGCAAAAGTACTCTTATAGCCAGGCTTGACGCCCGACTATAGAGGTAACGGCGCATCCAGGGGTCTTACACAACGGCACAGATCGTCGACCACAGCTTCTACAAAGTTTCGAGAAATACAAGACGACCTGGAAGCAGTTCTTGAAGCCCGTTAAGGACAAAATAGTCAAACATGCCTGTTTTTAATTATTCTGTGATGAAAGCGTTTGTCAGTACTAATATACTGAAATGAAAACAAAGTGTGGGAAAACAAAGTATAAGAAATCTTTTGCGGACTCGAAGCACAACGTCCACTACAAAAGATTTCTTTCGTATATTTCCTCCAAAAACATGGTGTCTAGTCTGAATCGTATGGAGGCCATTCTGGCGCAACATTCTGGCGCTGTCAGGCCGAACTCTCGTCTTATTCGCAATTCAGTGTCTACCACCTGTAGTAGTCTCTTTAAAAGCAGTTAGCAGTTGATGTACGTAAACGTTGCGAAAATTCGTAACGTCCAGAGCACAGGACGGCAGGGTCAACGAATATCAAGGGATAGAAATAGGCTATTTGTGAGACAAGTTAACATGTTTTTCTATGCATTTACTAATGTTCGCCTGACATTATATATAGTGAATCAATTTATGTGATGGAAGCAATGCCCTCAAGTTCCCGAAATGAGTCAGTTCGATTTGTGCGGGCAGAGTGCCCGCCAGTTCAGAATATGACGCAATAAACGCTTACGTCGAAACTGACAGACAACAAAAACAATGTGTTCCTGTGGAAGATATCTTTCATGCTGTTATATTCATGCGCCTACAAGGGGGGGGGGGGTGTCAAAACTTTTCAGAATTTTTAAATTTTGCTTGCAAATACAGATTTGCACGCATGCGAACAAACGCACGATCATACATAAAGCATGTTTGAGCACCCTGATTACACCCCAGGGACGTTCCTGGTTTCCTTGCAGAGAAACCCTAGTTCGTTGAAGATCGTTAAATATGCAACGATGACATAGGAGGAGGTGTGCTTTCATGGCAACATTCTGAAATTGAACTCCACCCGGGACTGGTGCTTGCCTTCACGCCTGGCAATCCATTCAAGGAGTAGCTACTCAAGGTGCTGCACTGAATTGTCAAGCTTTGCATACTGATGCATCTGAAATGACCTGAAAAGCCAGCGTTAACACTGTCTCGTGGTCGTGACGTCGACGAAGGCAGCAGTCGGTGTGTCCAAGATGAAACTCTTTATTCGGCAGAAATTGTGGCCGAGAAACGGAAACTCGAACTACGGCGAGTAATGTGTGTTGCGCGCTGATATCAGCGAACACGGCGTCGATAAACCAATTCTCGGCAAGGCGCGTCGTAATTGATGTTTGTGGCATCGCAGTGTTATTGCTGGTGGCCGCGTTTGTTCGAGAATAAACTCAGCCACTCAGCTGCTGCCGTTTGCACGCTGATGCCAAACGGATGATCCTAAAATAATCTCGAATGTTCCCAGACATTTTGGCGCGGTTTACGCAAGGAAATATCAAAAATTGAAATTATCTGTTAACAATAAAGCATACAACAAACTGAGCATGTGGGGCAATACGCAAGCATTCTTAGGGTACAATTCTAGCAAACCTGTCCGTCCATACATTACGTGTAACGCCTTACGGTCTCTAGGATGTCGTGACCAACCAAACACAAATACCAACATCAAAACGTAAGCTCGTTCATTATATAGATTAATAACAGCAGCGGGCAAACATACCGACGCTGCACTCGTCTGGGTACCAAAGCAAATCTTCCAAGCCTGTTGTTGCACTCGTCTGGGTACCAAAGCAAATCTTCCAAGCCTGTTGTTGCACTCGTCTGGGTACCAAAGCAAATCTTCCAAGTCTGCTGTTGCACTCGTCTGGGTACCAAAAGAAATATTCAAAGCCTGTTGTTGCACTCGTCTGGGTACCAAAGCAAATCTTCCAAGCCTGTTGTTGTGATCATGCCACGGGTGACGGTGCGGTGCGTTGTTGGAGACGCTGCACGCAGCCGTGTCAGGCCGGGATGATGACGACGCGGAGGCGACGCTGATCGATGCGCAGTGTGTCACCACAGGTCCATAAGACCACGACGGATCTCACGTAGGTGCGTAAAATAATGTCGCACATGACTATGGCCCAGACGGAATTTAAAATCTTCTTCCTGATCATTATAAATGAGATAGTTCCTTCGGCGTCATCCTTGCCAACAGTATTTAACATCTGTATGATCGTTGGGGCTACCTTTAAGATTACTGGCTGCGAAGATCAAAGAGCATTCACAGTTGGACAAAAAAAGCTTCAAGTGATTCTGCAATGGTGCGCTTGCTCCCATTTACCTGGGCATTAAGCTGGTTGCCTGATTTCACTGCTGCGAAATCATATCTAAGGTTTAATGTGCCAAAACCAGGATGCACACCACAGTGGAGTATACTCAGGGAATTTCTACCATGTGGTGTTTTTTAACGTGCACCGATAGCACGTAACACACATCGCCCCCATCGAAATGCGGCCGCCACAGCCAGGATCGAACCCGTGACATTCGTATCCGGACCCGAGCACGGTCATCGCTACACCACCGCGGCGGACTCGGTGCTAAAATAAGTGCCGCTCGGGCCTCCCAACCTCGGCCAGGGGGCGCTGCGCCGCGCGCGTTTTACGGCTAGGTGGCGTTAGCCGCCGCCCGATCTAAAGGGTACAGCCACATCCATCCATCCATCCCTGTTGGGATTCCCTGTAATCCCTGTTGGGATTCCCTGTTGGGATTGGCAGTATATGTAAATAAATAAATGAATAAATCCATCCATCCATCCATCCATCCATCCATCCATCCATCCATCCATCCATCCATCCATCCATCCATCCATCCATCCATCCATCCATCCATCCATCCATCCATCCATCCATCCATTCATCCATCCATCCATTTGCCGCCTTTCTAAAGCCGGTCGCTCGGTACGCCGCTCCCGCCTCCACAATCTCAGCACGTTCACGCGCTCTATACGAGCTGTTATCTGGTCGCCATCCACGTGCAGTGTCACCTGTGACTTGCTCCGAAGGTTTAAAAAGATTGTAAAAACGTTTTCGCGGGGTGAATCTAATCAAAACCGAGAGCGATGCATTGACAACCTTTGCGGGACCAAGCAAGTCAAACATGATGTCTTTGAGTGAGTACTTTGTGAATGTCGATAGTGAACAGCTGCCGTTCTACGACATTAAAAGTGAGGTGACGGCGCATATTTTATACGCATGTTCCCGGTAAAACGCGCGTTTGCTGGGGCGTTCATGTCTTCTCGGAGCTGCCGACAAACGATCGCCACGCTTTCGCGCGCATCTTTAAATAGCGTTCAGATTTCTATTGCTTGAATGCCAAGTTTGTCACGCGGCTTTCAATTTATTAGGTCACTGTGAAAAAGCTAAACTTACGTCTGCCCTTTTCAGTCCCTGGCATCATTTCAACGCGGTGTGTTCAGTTTCATAAGAGTTTCACTTTTGCCGAGCTTTTCATCGGATGTTAACAAGACCGTATCGTAAGTAAGTTCGATGACACCTTTGATTTTCTGTTGCTCCCTTGAAAGTACAATGATGTACACAAAAAAGTATTTTATGTCCACTTCGACCGTGTATGTTTCTTGCAGCGCATGTTTCATTTCGGATAATATCCACGCCTTATCGCGCAGCGTGTTCACTGATTCGAATGTCGCTTCGGTTGTTTTGACAGCTAGCGTGGTCGTCGTCATATGTACAATGCCCAGTAGAATCGAGCATGTTTTATGTTACGCTGAGCTTTGCCGATGAAACTTTTTTTTTTATTGCCGCCTTGGTTCTTTTTCTTTAGTTTAACTAGTTTTCATAGCAGCAGCTGTATATCACCCGTGGCTCGGACGCATGCAAGGACACAATACGTGCCAAAAGCTTCATATCATAAGAAGACACGCCGTGGTTTGACACACCGGATCCATTCCGGCCACCTGACGTTTTTTTTTAACGTGCACCTAAATCTATTTGGAGTGTATACGGTTATTACGACAACGAACAGAGGATGCACATGCACTGAGCGTCACTTCTGTTTACATTCAGTGTCATACCACCGCATGCTTGAAATATGCAACACCAACACACCCTGTCTATCATTCTTGCACCAAAACCCGAGCGCACTGTTACTGCGTTTCGCTCCCGTGAAAATGCAGCTGGCGTATACGAGACTTCAACTCATTACTTCGATCCTAGCATCAGAACACCTCATCATGCAAACTTATCGGTGGGCGTTGCTTGCGAGATCCGTTGGTATAAGCGCTCAGCGCGAACCCGCAGCACAAATCTGTTTACACTGAGTGGCGATGAGAAGTCTACAGCCATCAGCTGAATAAAACACTTGCATGGCTCACAGTACGGTATTTTAGGTGTATTAAGCTAGCAAGCTCCAGTGCTTTCGCACACCAATGGTTGTCACCAAAATCCAGAGCCTAATCGCAAAATATACAGCGGTTATCTATTTGCTGTTTTTTTTTCGGTTTACGAACACGCTTTCTTTTATTACGGGTTTGGCCATCGCATTTTTTTTCACTTAATAATTATCTCGAAGTACTGTGTACGACAAAATATTTTCAAAGTAACCAGACCGCGAAGTATCGGCGAACTGTCATAATCATCTCTTGACGAATTTGCTTCTCGCACCACTTGGATTGTAAACTGGAGAACTTGACGGGCAGTTTTCAGGTCTTCGTCATGTTCAAACTTTTGTAGCAGCTCACAATGCGGCAGTAGTGTGTGCCTGCTTTTTAGAATGACGAAGGAGCATTGCCCATAGCGTGCAAAATTCGAGATGAGCGCTCCAAGGAACACGTTTTCAGTGCGTGCAACGGGCAAACGCAGCAAGCGCGGCTCGTTCGAGCGACCGAAGCTTTGCCCTCTTTCCGCTAGGGCGGTGAATGGCGCTGCGCAAACTTGAGCCTGTAGGGGTAGGGGCGTTCCCAGGACGCAAGCTGGAAGCAGTCATGAGGCAAGCGAGCGCAAAGCTCAAAACGACCGCTGATAGACGAAACCTCGTGATAATTTCAGGCGGTTTAAACGATGTCCTGAATGAAGATGCAGAAGGACTAGCAGCCACACTAGCGAAAGGCATCGATGACATGCGCGCCACTTCTCCTAAGGTACAGGTAGTTATATGCACGATACCGGAGGTACCGGTGCGTGATAGCAACCTGCAAAGAGCGGTGGTCAACGCAAACCAAGAGATATGGCGGATGAGTCGAGAAAAAGGCTTTGAGGTGGTGGAAATAAACAGAGAGGTGCATAGGTGGGGGGGTTTTCAACGAGACAGAATTCACTTCGATGGGCGGCTAGGTCATGAGGTGGGTTGGCGACTTGCAGGACGCGCAGTAGCTTTTTTGGGGGGCAAGCGAGCCATTCGGGGTGCAGGATAGCTAGTAACGAGGAAAACAACCAGGGAGACTCTTCGACAGCTGGTATGGACAGATACGATTCCAAAGTGGTACCAATATCTAAGATAGGTAGAGTCCGGGGCATAAATAGACGTAGCCACGAGCGCCGAGCCAATTCAGACATAGGGTATATTAACATGCAGGGTGGTAGGAACAGGCTGAAGTGGGAAGAGATAGAAGAACAGCTAAGGGAAGAGAGGCCGATGGTATACGGTTTTGTAGAAACACATCTCAGGGACATGGAACAACCTCCGAACAATCCGGACTACGCGTGGGAATATTGTAACAGAACAGAAGGCAGCAGAAAG